CTTGGAAGAAAACGTGGAGCCGATCCGCAGTGTCAATATCATTCCCTAACAATTATCACCAGCCTCGCCTAAGCGCAATTTGCAAGAGGCGTGACGATGGGTAAAGGCGAGAATGCAGGTGCGGTGGTCCTGTAGGCTACACTGGCGTGTATGTACGCCAGTAATGTAGGCTAATTCGGGCCAAGACCCAAAACGGTCGGAATAAGTTTGGCTTTGCGCGTAAATTCAAGAAACATCTACCGAAGTTTCGGTTCGGTAAAATGATAATGTGTATGGTATTAGAAGCCGGCCTAACCGACTCGCTCGTTCGCACGCTGTTCTGGTGACTCCCCACATTATCGATCCGCCCGCATACAATCCATGTGATGGCGCACAAGCTGCCGCCAGAATTCGGACTCTATCCCGCCAATCGGATAAGTCGGAAAGCCAGTCGAGCTGCTACCCACCTGAAGACACTATCTGATTTGCCCGATTGCCGGCCTATCTTGTGCATGCCCTGCTTGCCCTTATAAAGTACGCCCTTCTTGCGCCCTTGTTGTTGAGCTATCCCTTGGGGATTCGAACGAGGCGTTGTTGGACAGAGAACAGTGTGACTTGTGCCAAGTTTAAAACAGATGGAGGGATGTAAGCGGCACTACAGGGCAAAATCTCTTGCAGACAATCCCTAGACAGCAAAATGTCTGCTCTTAAATTACTACCTTTTCACCTACACACGCAAAAGTTACACTGGCGGTAGATGATACTACTACAGTATAAACAATATTTTCTAAGTTCATTTTGCAGGAAATTATGTCTTCTACAAAGGTACCGCCTATGGGGGGCAAAGCATGCTGGTTTTTAACGTTCCATGTTATGATTTTTTCTGAGAAATCAGCGAGTCGACTAGACTACCACCGCGTCAAATGCATTAGTGTTGCCCATAGAGTATGCAACGCACACCCACACGCGCAAGGACATGAGGTAGATGACTTGATTTTAGAAAAAACTGCATAACATGCAGCTTGCAAGTCTTAAGAGGCAATGCAAATTCAAATTCCGCATCAACATATACTGGTAGCTGGAAGATTACTTTAAGACATAAACATCTCGCTGTACACAAAGCCTGACCACGTACAGTCTTTAGCATCACAACTCAGAGGTCTGCCACCGTCCGAAATCCGAATCCCCAGAACATTATCTCGGAACACCCATTAATCAATTCATGCACCACCCCCTTTCGCAGCGGCCATGGAACATACATCTGGTCTCAGTTCGTAGCCCGCGCAGAGTTAGGAGCGGTAGCAAGTTGACACTTTATGGGGCAAATTAGATTTTCCAGATATAGACAACGACACCAAATCAACTTTTTCGATTCAAGAACCCTAGAGCTGTCTACCCTCGAAAACAACAGCAAAGTTGGCTAAATATGACCACAAGAACTATTCAGCCGAAGTGACAACCTCCGAGGAGCAGGTTGTGTATATGCGTGGCACACAAAAACTCTCTTTCGTCCGCTTGAGCTTCGGCCTGGTATTCGAAAAGATGGAATTCACTCGTGCGTACTGTTAAACTATGCCATTGATAGGGTTCTCATCGCGTCAAATGTTAACTTGGACGCCGGCTGACTGATTTTGGCTAGACTAACGATATCAACCTGTTAGTGCACACTATGATGACCTACAAAATGGGGTGTCAAATATAAAAAGACCAATGTATTAGTCCTATCAACGCCAGGAAGACCTTAACGTGGAACAGGAGGAAGTACTTCAGGGAAATAATTACTGGCAGCTTAACGAAGTGAACAGTTTCAAATATTTCTTACCGATGCTGTTGTTAAGGTCGGCATCGTCACCCGAATCGGTGTTACTCGAGCATGTTTAAAAGACCCTATACATTGTATATGAACTCGTCGCGATATATCCATACTTGAATCGATCTGCCTGATCTATTCGTCCCCTTGTACGGTAGTGTCTGATGAGTTATGCGAGTGGAAAACGAGTGACAACTGGAGGCCTTTGACCACTGCTGTTTGAGAACTATCCTCCAACTGAAATTTCCCGATTTCATCTCAAATGAAATAGCCCGCGATTATTGCAATAACACTGAGACTGTCGGACGATCTGAGAAGGACCTGAGTACGTTCTGCGTCGGCCAGCAATGGGACCAGTACTATATCCCCCGATCTGACGGCAGTGCACACCTGAGGTTTCGGAAAGACAGTCGAACCTGTTTTAACGCAACTATTAAGGACATGGAGTCGATTCCTGGACATTCGAGAGATATTTGCTCGAAAAGAGAAAATGTCGAGCTCTCTAGAGCCACTGCTACAGATTTTCACGCACAGGGGTACACTTAACGATATAACTGATGCCGGCTATACCAGGTATAAATAAAACTGCATCGAGTACAGGTACGACGAATGGAAAGAATAAAAATTATTCAAAAAAACTGTCTCGGTGGGATTTGCAACTTTAGTTTGAAGAATATTCGAGTGGAAGGAAGCGCACTACCGTGCATTGATCGAATTCAAATGGTGTTTAATAGTGATCAGTTTTGCGACTGAAGCCAAACAAAATGTACAAGTTACACTTTTGCCGGTGAATACTTCAAGAATGAAATACGTTTCCCCTAGGAGGAGACATGAACTGAAAATGTGTTCAAAGCAAACTAAGCTAACTATTCCTCTATATTAATCGAGGACAAAACGAACAGAAAATCTTCTTCCTGGCTGACTGCGCTCACCATGAGGACTTAAAATGGAGGCCTGTTAACAGATCATAAAACTAAGCAAAAAGTAATGTAGAGTTTGTACCGGCCGCGAATTCACCACGTATGATATGAGCATCGCAACTCATTGAAATCCGCTTCTTGGACCACAACTTAAAGAAAGTGATAAGGGATGTGCATAAGCACCGATTGATGAAGATGTCTGCCTCTTGTTAAAAAGAATTGATGGGTGTCAGTCTTAGTGGACTTTATATATCACAAGTTGTTAATGAATTCAACATATTCCAACGGTTTTAATGGGAATTTTCAAGATTAAACGCACCTGAGTCTGGACACGACGGAATTTCTCAAGCTTTTTGCCCATATCTGGATCCAACTCCTCGCTAACATTTTTCATCCAAAGAAGCGCGCCACGATAATCGTTGCGTGCGGTTTCCGTTCTTTTAATGGTCGAGGCTGTGTCGTCAATTGCGCGATTACGAAATGTCTGAATCTCTTGTGTCAGCCGATTCAAAGGGTTTTGCAAGGCGAGCCTGAAAAAGTAAACGTTTTGACAGAGTTGAAGAACAAGAAACGCGCCAATATTTCACAAAAAATTGCTTCAAGCGATCGCTGAATGTGAAAACCCTCTAAAAGTGTCCTGAATGAAACTCACCGCTGTTGAGCTGAATGGGAAAGCGCTTTTCCCACGGCGGCTAGCATTTTGCCAGCCCGGGTCTTATCCTCGGAACTCTTCGACTTTAAAAAACGCCCCATTTCATTTTCGGCTTGGGATAAACCTATAAATACTTAGTCCAACAGAATGAGATGCAATCTACCGTATATCCGTTGAAGGTAACGCTCCGTACATAATATCAAATCCTGGCACGTTGTTTGCACTGAATTGAAAAGCTGGGGGATAAAAAAGGTCGAGTCATCAGGAAGAGAAAATGCAACAGAGAAAAAATTTTTTATAGCAATAAGCCTACCTCAAGCTTTGCGTCAAGTTCAGCGTCGGAAGCGACGACGTACTTGTCCTCTTCCCTTCCAAGTTTCCGTATAACTGTTTGTTTTGTCGACCAATATGCACTTTTCAGTTTATGCGATGTTGAGTCTTCCACGAAATCGCGGTATCTATCCGTTGAAGATCCATAATACATGGTTGACGAGGTATTAAACTAACAACAGGGCAACAGGGCGATTTTCAGACCACCCTTAAGCAAAAAACATAGGTGACTTCAGTATATCTAGCCGGATAACCAATGTCAACACCATCGAATGGTTTCGTAAAACAAGAATTTTTGGTAGAAGTTCATTGATTTTGGCGTTTTTTACCATAAGGAAACCCGGGCCTAGGGCGACACCGTAATTATTTTATATTAAAGACCGAGCCACTACGAAACTCGGGTTATACACTGAAGTGCTTGAGGTTGCTCATAGATCTCTTAGCTGCTCTGAATCAGCCTGCCCTGCTTCCACATATATCTTCACGAAGCATTTTTTTCTCTTTCACCTATTTTGAAAGCGGGGCTGGCTAAGCTCTGCCGCCACTTTCATCGTAGGAGTTTGTTCGCTGCCTATTTCTTAGTTCGTCATTTATTCAAAGGATTTTGCCTAATGTTTTAAAGGACAAATCACCGGTAGATGAGACAAACTCCGCTTGCTATATATGACAGTATTTTTCAGTTCTGTTTTTTGGTCATGGCCACCTACACTGTCATTATTTTACCTCAGTACTAACTTTGTTTTACTAGTGCCTCTGGGTGCTTAAACTATAAAATTTATTTAGTAATCGCTGGCTTTTTCTGAATCTTCGTGCTCAATTTCCCGATGTAGACTAACGATTCTTTTTGGGGGGGCCAACACTCGCGCCGTCCTTGAGGCATGATAGAAAAGACGGAACACGCGAGACTGCCGCTGACCAGGTTCTGAGGTCACG